CGCATCCCTTGCATTTCGATCGTATCCGCCCGTGCTCGCATATGCTCCCCCCCCCACACTCCTTGCATTGCGATCGTACCCGCCCGTGCTCGCATATGCTTCTGCCCCCGCAGTCCTTGCATACTGATCGTACCCGCCCGTGCTCGCATAGCTTTCTTCGTATCCCTCTCTCCCCTGTCTTTCCTCTTCCTCCCTCTTCTCTCGCCGTCTCCTCCTCCTCCTCTCTCCTCCTCTTGCTCGGCCTTGTGTCAGCCATGCCGCCTTTTCCCGCTCTTCTACTCATCGCCCTCACACCGGTTTTGCGGGTTTACCCCCATCCCCACACATACCCAATTACCCCCGTGTGGTCAAACCAGTGGTCAAACCCCACGGGTCCCTGTCAACGCTCTCTATAACCGGTAGTTTTTCTTGGTAACTCAGGGGTACCTGTTCAACAGGGGGGTGGGTGGGTTCATAGTTTGCAATGGCGGCAAGGCGGAGTTCTCAGAATTCTGCTAGCAACCAGCGATATCGCGCAATCCCCGCAACCTGAGCATATTACTAGTGAGCTCTCCATCACATTCTCCTGATTCATCATAGGATCGTTCTATGTTGTTGTTCTATGTGCTATTTCTGGTTCCCCGGTACCATTTGATCCATCCCGTACATTGAAAGTTTCACGATCGTGCGATGTGCTAAAGACAATTGGCTTCTTCGAATGCTCGTATGCATAAGGCAGGTGTGTGTATCCACTTGATAAGATAGTTTCGTGTACTCCTGGTTGAATTTTCTCAGAAAATCCTTCTTGTTCAGATGGCCGATCAAAGACCACAACACTATGGTGCAGAGAGTTGGTGAATTGAAGACATAGCTTCCATCTCCCAGTGCATGATTCTTACCTTTCACTTGCTACTTGCAAATGAGTATCAATTGCAACCACGAAGCCTTCATACGTGACAGAAAGATATGTGCCAGAAAGATATCTCCTTTGATACATATTTGGCTGACAGAGGTCCTGTCAATGCCTTCCACAGCCAGCTGCGACCCTCGCGTTCATGCCCAACTGCCTCCAGTAGACTGATGGCCTTGTCACTGAACATCTTCAGCATGATATCCACCGATTGTGGATCGGCGGTCCCGTCGACTTCCATCTGAGTCATCAACCTGTAAGCTTTATGCCATATCTTCGCTTCCCTCGACTTCCCTGACCCAATCGAATGCCTGACATTATTCAACAGGCGATTGATGCACGCCGTCAAGAAAAACAACTGCTTAGAAATGGGAGAGATAACGGGATTGGACAACCATTCGTCGAATTTAGCGCGGATCTTGTTTTCTTCCAAGTCATTCAGTCGATCTGATATGTAGCTCAATCTCCCATGGAGTGAATGATTCCTCCCCCTCTTCAATTTGACAGGGCAATGTCACAACTTCATAACATCTGCAAAATATTTGCAGCCTGCAGAACATCCCTCTCAAGGTCGCTCTTGAGTCTCTATCACTTGTATCAACATCTTCATTCATAACTGTAGAATGATCATCTTGCTGCTGGCATGGAGAAAAGCAACATCTCACACTTACTTCAACAAGTAATCGTGAATGGTGTATTGCAAAGAATTCACATTTCAACGGTCAAAGTGTGAAGTCGATCGTTGTTCAATTCGGGAGAGATGCTTTCCATCTTCTTGTGAGTATTGCAAATGCATGTACGAAGTCAATTCAAATGTTTATGCACGGCCGTCGTGCCTGCATGAAATTTTCCAGACGCTCATTGCTGGAAAACTTACTCGTGGTGTGAAGGAACACACCCAGAAAATCTTTCTGATGTTTACCCAAAAGCATCTCCAAGGACCTTTAGTTTGCATTGCACTTCAAATAAAGATACAGCACAAAGACTCAACTGAACATGATGGGTCGCTGAAGTTAGAAGATTCTCGCCCTCACACTCCATAGACAAAGTTGCACAGACCTTGACATTTCAAGAAATGAACAGCTTGAAAATCCAGGGATCATCACGCGTTTTGAGTGCAAGATCCTCTGTAAATTAGTTTTGTTCTCTTGTTGTTTGAGCCTGTCAACACTCGCGGCGCACAAAGGCAGATCTTGCAGCTTTCGAACGCTGCTCGTCTCTCGTTTCTCCATCTTCTCTTCTCTCGTTTCTCCATCTGCTTCTACGGCCTGCCCCTGGTATGGACGTACATAACCTTTGCACGTCCGAACTCTGATTTGAATTTTCTCCTGATGCCCTGCCAGGGCCATGCAGGACCCCCTCAAAACCCCGTCTGTCATTTCGAATCAGCCTAGCACAGAGGAGGAACTCTATGGGTTGATGGGGCCCCGTTGCCTTTCATGGGTCTATGGAACTTTCCGTCTGTGATCGAGCCGACCGTCACCTTGTAGCCACTTCCATTTGTTGTCTCTTGTTGAGGCGAATTTACAGCCGTTACTATGACAGCGCCGAATCAACAAAATCCTTCACAGTATGAACGAGACGGCCCGTGGAGGCCTTCCTCGCCGTCTCCCTGAGGTTCCTCTCATGTCTGGATGCTTGGGTTTCACATCCTAGCATACAGTCTATTTCTCATGTGCTCCTCAATTCTGTTTCGTGTGCATTAAACTCGGTCTCGAGCAAAACCTGTCTTGTTACAACTGAGGTCAACAGGCATTGATTTGTCATCTTGCAAATCTTAACAGGCTTATATTAGTTGATGTAGGACTTCTGCGCTGCCTCTCCTCTCGTCCTTGTCCTTCTCTGAGGCGGACGTTCTTCAGCTACCCGGCTCTATCTGTACAGAACCTCTAGTCCCTCGTCAGCAGGGATCTGATCACTTCAGCTGTATCCCTGTGCCCTCCTTCTTCAGCTTCCACAGCACACGTCTTTCCCAGCTTGTCCTTCATCCCCAGCACCTCCCTCCCTCCTCCCTCCACAAGCGCAACAAGAGCCTCCGTGTGTCCCCCCGCTGCTGCCTTGTGCGCGCACGTCCTACCATGGACGTCGGCGGCGAAGAAGCTGTCTACCCCTCCCATCCTCCCTATCATCCTCAGCGTCTCCGCCCTCCCTCGCCCAGCTGCCTCGTGCGAGCATGTCTGACCGTTGAAGTCTGCAGCAGCCAGCAGCTCCTTTCCTCCTACCCCGACGACGAACTCCAGCGCTGCCGTGTACCCGTACAGCGCCGCCTCGTGTGCACAGCTCCTCCCGTACCTGTCGCGCACCACTACTGCCTGCTTCCCTCCCACCTCCTCGATCGCCCGCAGGGTATCGACGTGTCCTCCTCCAGCTGCCTCGTGTGCGCATGTCCTGCCGTTCACATCGCCTGCCAGCAGAGCTTCAGCCCCACCGATCCGAGCGATTGCCAGCAGCGTCTCCGTCCTCCCTCCCATCGCAGCTTTGTGCGAGCAAGTCAGCCCGTCCTTGTCCCCTGCCAGCACTATCTCTCTCCCTCCTGCCTCTGCTATCGTCACCAGCGTCTCCGTGTGCCCGTAGCGAGCCGCCTCATGCGCGCATGTCCTCATGTCTTTGTCGCAAGCCACGATCGCCTCCCTCCCTCCCACCTCCCCCAGCCACCTCATCACCTCCAGCTGTCCTCCAGCCGCTGCCTCGTGCGCGCTCGACCTCCCTGCCTTGTCCCCTACCACCACAGCAGCAGCCCCTCCTATCCCATGAATCATCTTCAGCACCCTCAAATGTCCCCCGCTCGCTGCTGCATGCGCGCACGTCCGTCCAGCCTTGTCCGCAAGGAACAACGCCTCCTCCCCCCCTCGCTCCCAGATCATCTCCAGAGTCCCCACGTGCCCTCCTCCTGCCGCCTCGTGCGCGCAGGTTCTGCCGGAGTCCGATGCCGCCAGGAGGACTTGACTGCCTCCATGCTCTACCAGCAGCCGCATCACCTCCGTGTTCCCTTGCTCCGCCGCCATGTGCCCTGCCGTCCTGCTCCTCCTCGCCCTCATCATGACGTCAGCCCCATGGAGGAGGAGGACTTGAATGCACTTGTCGTAGCCCATCGTTGCTGCAGCATGCAGAGCCGTCATCCCATCCCTGTTCGCGCAATGAACGTCATGCCCTGCGATGAGGAGCAGCTCCAGCATGTCCTCCTGCCCCCGAGACGCAGCGGAAACCAGCGCAGGGCTCTCCTCCTCCTCCCCTTCGCTCAGCACTCCGTACATCTTACAGAGCTCGGCAGCTACCTTCTTCCTCTCCCCGTCCTCGGAGCCTCCGAGCGCCTTCAACTCTCTTCTGAGGATGCAAACAGTTTGCATCTCAACCTCTTCCAACGACATGCCTGCGATACTCTCGCACTTCCTGTCCCCTCCAACGTGTTTGACCCAGAACTCCATCTTCCCCATCGCCATGCTCTTCAGCCGTGTAATGTGGTGGATGGCCTGGTTGTACTGCCCGTCATGGTTGAACCAGGTGACGGGCAGGTTGCGATACCGCTCAATGATCTCCTTACACTCTCTCAAGACTGAGTCGCGCAGGAGCTCGTGCAGTTTGAAGTACTTGTCTGACCATGCATGTTCCAGCCTCTCCCCGACTCTCTCCGACCCGATCATCTCCTCCAGCTCCCTCTGCACCTCCTGCAGCATGTTCTCCAGCAGGGCAATGTACAATTGCTTCCGTTTGCCCACGATGTCTTCAATCGTTGAGCAGGTCATGTTTGCGTTCACCCTGAGCGGAATGATCTTGACCGTCTTGCCGCTCCTCGACCTTCTCTTCCTTGGAGCACCGGTCACTTCCAAGTATGACAGAGGAGGATATAGAATCTCGTCCTCCCCGGGATACTGCGACAGGAACCTCAGGGAGGCCCCTCGATCTATCGCTCCGCATCCTATCTCGAACAGCAGCGGCGTCCTCCCCTTGGCGTACTGCATGGCGACCTCCTCGTCCGTTGTTGTGCTCATCATTGCTAGCTCCACCCCCCCGCAGATCCCCAGCCTGTCAGCCTGCATGAACGCATCCGGTAGCGTCAGGTCGCCGAGACCTCGGTAGACGACGCGGCTGGGAGGGATGAGGGCGATGCGGGAGAGCTTGATGATGCCGCTGACGATGCAGTAGATGGTAGTGACGTACTTGTTTCCCTTGAGACCTTCCACTACCTGCCTTGGGTATCCCCGCAGCACAGCGTTGTACTTGTAGAACATGGGCCCTGTGCAAAGAGATCAGCTGTTTAGAACAGACTGGAGGAGTTTGAGATGAGATTGTCATTGATTACGATGAGCAGGAGAGAGTGGAGATGGATGATGATGATGATGATGATGATGATGATGATGATGATGATGATGATGATGATGATGATGATGATGATGATGATGATGATGATGGAGATGATGATGATGATGATGATGATGATGATGATGATGATGGAGATGATGATGATGGAGATGATGATGATGATGATGATGATGATGATGATGATGATGATGATGATGATGATGATGATGATGATGATGATGATGATGATGATGATGATGATGATAAGGAGAGGAAAGAATGCTGTGGATGATGGAAAGGAGAAACACTGACGGGGCGAAGGAATGTCTCACCCGTGTACAGCTGTAGCGCCAATATCTCCTCCTCCAACAACTTCGCATCTCGGACCTCGGAGTCAAGCATGATATCAACCATCTTCCTGATCCTTCTGGGACCTGTCGACATCTTCTCCCTGCTCTCATCGCTTGCAAGAATCTCCCACTCCCTCATCGGAGTCGTCCGTGTGTTGTAGTTCCCCGGCTCGAACTCGTCCTCAGAGTCGGCCCTCCTACAGTGCTCGTTCTCAATCGCCTCCTGCAACCGAGGATGCGGCAGCCCGAGCTTCCCTACCAGTCCTGTGTGGAAGGATTCTATCCTATCAAAGACAGCTTTTCTCCCGCTGGTCTCTTGAAACTTCACATTGTTATGCTCCTTATTCTTCTGTTTGTTGCCCCCAACAGAATTCCCTCTTCCTTCCATTCCTCCACCGTGCATCGTCCTCGAGCCTCTGTCCCCTTGCATGTCATGTTCCTGCTCTGCTCCCTTCCCTTGACCTTCTCCTCCCTCTCCTCCTCCTCCTCCTCCCGTCTCCCCTCCCCTTCCCCTCGAAGTCCCCAACGCACCGCCCATGGCGACAGGAACAATTTTGTATCAAGTTCAACCTCCTATTGCACCCCTCTAGTACCCCTATAACTACCCCTACCCCCTGATTTCAGTGGACTGCTGCTCCTGCTCCTGCTCCTGCTGCTCCTCCTCCTGCTGCTGCTCCTCCTG